TTGGCCTCAGTCCAGACCAAAAATTGTTATTAGAGATGTTGTAAACATACAATAATATGGTAGTATATTTTCTAGGAAAATAAAGAACAATTTAACAACAATATATATTGAAGTTCTAGTCCCTTGAAATTTGAAGGTCCATTTAACATTGGCCCATTGGGCAACAACATAGGCTGCATTGCAGATATGGGACTACATATATTAATTAAAGTTGACTGTATTATTTTTTTTCGAACGAATTCGTGGCACCACTTTTTTTTACATAATTTACACGTTTTTATCAGACTTACTCCGTAATGTATTTCAACAATCGGGATTTTTTATCTTTTAGATCTTCCTCAAAGATCATGTTTATAAAAAATCACCCAAATCTAAAGCCATATGACTATTGGATTAAGAGTTTATAGTTTCTTTATAGAACTGTTTCGTCCATTTTCTTCACTACAAATGAATGTCTTAATAGTTTTAGATTTAGGTGATTTTTGGTAGACATGATCTTTGATGGAAGACTTAAAAGATAGATAGTTCGGATAGTTGAATACATTACCAAGTACGCGCTACAAAAACGTGTGTAAAAAATTGTGTAAAAAAGGTGGCTTCATAGATCTGCTCCCATTTTTCTTTGCCTATAATTTATGATCTTGTAGCTTTTGTTTTCTACAAAGCACGCAATTATTTCCCAAAAATTCTTAGCAGATGTGCTCCATATTATATGGCAAAGATTGAAGGTCCAAACATAGGTAGTAGTGTGCATCTTAAGAAGGACGACCAGCCAGGATGGTACCAAATGCTAGTTATGTATTTATGATTTTCTTGAAAGATTGAGATGTGGTAGATTCAGTAATGCATGATGTAGTACAACAAGTGTGCTACTTGAAGAACTTAGATTTAAGGAATTTAAAATTATCAATAATAAAATGGAAAGGTGATATTACCTGAGGATATTTCTTACTCTAGCATGTTGAAATTTAGAGAGTATATAATTTTATGACTGGTAGTAAGACAAGTTATTATAATAATATATTTTATTTTCTAATATATTCTTAAGATTTTAGAGATTATCGTCTCATTCTATTTCCTTATAAAACTAGTTTTTCTTTTCTTTTCATTGATTTGTGAATCTCAAGTCAATGGAAATAAGGCAACAACTTAAAAAGCTGCTTTGGATTGGGATTTGGAAAAGAGAAGTTTCCACGATCCTTAAAGCATATGAGAATCCGGTTTGATAGCCAAAAGGTACACTAAGCTCAAGGACCACTAATTGACAGAGGTTAAATTTCCTACTAGTTTGCAGACCATGATTTATGTACAAGAAGAAGCTGAAGGACCACCAAGTTTGAAAATCCGTCCCTCTCTCACCCGATTCTCTCCACAATCTATGTAATTAATTTAGAGTAGAATGTTGCTTATAAAATAATCCTTATCGTTTAATTATGTAGACTAGATCGATTTGGTACACATTAATCAAATATACACTCCTTTAAATCCATACAAAAAAAATATATAATTTGGTATTTTATTTATTTACGTTTTAAATTCTAATTGGAAAGAGAAAGCCCTTTTGGTTTGAAGATATTCTGAAAATTCAACCTGTATGCATGGTGGACTTGTTGAAACGTTTCTGAGAGGATTTGAAAGCAACAACATGCATCTTAACCACCAGAACAAAGTCTCCTGAAAACGATCCCCAGGTCTCATCCATCGATGGACCTCTAAAACAAGGAATTTGAGGCTCTCAACAATCCCAACAAGAATGCTATAGCACTCCCTATCTAGGATGACTTCTAGAAAAACAAAAAAACAAAAAAACAAAAAACAAAAAAACAAAAAACAAAAAAGAGAGCAAGGATCAATGTATCCTAAGTTGGACGAAATCAACTTTGCCTCGAGTGGGACATTAACTTAACTTACATGTGAGACATTTGTTTATACATAAAAGACTTGTTAAGTGATACATGTTTATATGTGAGACGCATATGATGCTCTTATTTAACGATATCTGTTTATATACGAGATACTTGTTTAATGACACTTGTTTAATGAAACAGGAGTTGACTATATTGATTCTTCTTAGCCTTGGCCTCAGTCTAGACCAAAAATTGTTATTAGAGGTGTTGTAAACATACAATAATATGGTTTCTCTAGTATATTTTCTAGGAAAATAAAGAACAATTTAACAACAATATATATTGAAGTTCTAGTTTCTTGAAATTTGAAGGTCCATTTAAGATTGGCCCATTGGGCAACCACATAGGCTGCATTGCAGATATGGGACTACATATATTAATTAAAGTTGACTGTATTATTTTTTTGGAGCAAATTCGTGGCACAACTTTTTTTGCACAATTTACACGTTTTTATCGGACTCATTTCATAAATGTATTTCAACAATTGGGATTGTCTATCTTTTAGGTCTTTCTCAAAGATCATGTCTATAAAAAATCACCCAAATCTAAAACCATATGATCATTGGATTAAGAGTTTATAGTTTCTTTATAGAACCATATTCGTCCATTTTCTTCACTACAAATGAATGTATTAGGTGATTTTTGGTAGATATGATCTTTGATGGAAGACTTAAAAGATAGATAGTTCGGATAGTTGAATACATTACCAAGTACGCGCTACAAAATCATGTGTAAAAAATTGTGTAAAAAAGGTGGCGTCACATATCTGCTCCCATTTTTCTTTGCCTATAATTTATGATCTTGTAGCTTTTGTTTTTTTACAAAGCATGCAATTATTTCCCAAAAATTCTTAGCAGATGTGCCCCATAGTATATGGCATGGATTGAAGGTCCAAACATAGGTATAGTGTGTATCTTAAGAAGGACCAGCCAGGATGGTACCAAATGCTAGTTATGTATTTATGATTTTCTTGAAAGATTGAGATGTGGTAGATTCAGTAATGCATGATGTAGTACAACAAGTGTGCTACTTGAAGAACCTAAATTTAAGGAATTTAAAATTATCAATAATCAAATGGAAGGGTGATTTTACCTGAGGATTTTTCTTTTATGGTACATTTTTATGATGTTAAAAGTAAAAAAAAAAATGTATTCAAGTGTTTTGACGTAGTTGAAATTAACATATTTCTTACTCTAGCATGTTGAAAATTAGAGAGTATATAATTTTATGGCTGATAGTACGACAAGTTATTATAATAATATATTTTATTTTTTTAATATATTCTAAAGATTTTAGAGATTCTCGTCTCATTCTATTTCCTCGTAAAACTAGTTTTTTCTTTTCATTGATTTGTGAATCTCAAGCCAGTGGAAATAAGGCAACAACTTAAAAGCTGCTTTTGGATTGGGATTTGGGAAAGAGAAGTTTCCACGATCCTTAAAGCAGATGAGAATCCAGTTTGATAGCAGCTTACCAACTTTGAATTGGAATCGTAAAAAGCAGATGATCTGTTATCTTATTTCCTTGAAAAAGCCCGTTCCCACTGTGCTCACGGGCCAGCTGGCCTGCTAGTGGTAATGGGAATTCTCTTGTTCTCTATTCAAAGACTTGGTAGCCTCCGGGACCTACTCCACTATATTGAATTAGCTTTTATTTTGATAGAACTCTATGCAAAAGAAAAAGGCTGAATAGCCAAAATGGTCCATAAGATTTGCATAACTCATCACTTTGGTCCTTAACATTTCAAATCGATAAAAGTGGTCCCTTAGATTGTCCATCATCCATCATTTTGGTCATTCTGTTAAAAACTCCGTTAAGTGTCCCGAAGCTCTTGGCTGGAAGTTTGGATAATTTTCAAAGCTTCGTAACTCAATTGTTTCTTAACCAAATTCGACCCATAATATATCAAAATGAAGATAGGAAAATGTAGACTAACATTATACCTATTTGGAAGCCCAATGGGTGCCAGAGATAGCCGAAAAATAGTCTCAAAGTTGACTGGTCCGAAGGAAAACTGGAAAACTCGTCGAAAACTGGATAAACTTTAAACGTTCATAACTTCTTTAATATTCAACGAAATCAAGTGATTCAAAAACGAAAATCATACTTCTCGACGAGAAAAAAAGAATGGTACCTTTTTAGATGGCTAAATCGACGTGGTTTAGCTGAAAACGGCTCAAAAGCGGTTGTCTTGGTCTCAAGTTAGCCACTTTCGAGCCGTTTTTCGGCCCAACCACGGTGATTTAGCCGTCTAAAAAGAACCATTCACTTAATCTTGTCAAGAACTATGATTTTTGTTTTTGAATCACTTGATTTCGTTGAGTATTGAAGAAGTTATGAACGTTTAAAGTTTACTCAATTTCCGGCGAGTTTTTCAGTTTTCCCTCGGACCAGTCAACTTTGAGGCTATTTTCCGGCCATCTCCGGCAGCCATTGGGCTTCCAAATAGGTATAATATTATTCTACACTTTCCTATCTTCATTTTGATATATTGTGGGTCAAATTTAGTTAAGAAACGATTAAGTTACGAAGCTTTGAAAAATTGCCCAAAGTTTCGACCAAGAGCTCCGGGACACTTAACAGAGTTTTTAACGGAATGATCAAAATGATGGATAGTGGATAATCTCAAGGACCACTTTTATCGATTTGAAATGTTAGGGACTAAAGTGATGAGTTATGCAAATCTCAAATACCATTTTGGCTATTTAGCCAAAGAAAAAAAAATACACATCGTTTAAATCTTGTATTTCTAGAGTCCAATTATTAACTTGATAAATGTGGCTAACAATTGAATTAAAAACAAAAAAACAATCTCATTTTCTCAACCAAGTTTTGAGTTCGAATTTTATGGACGAAAATAATTTAGTAATAAATAAATAAATTGATAATTGTGCACCATATTCTTGCTAGTCTTCTCTATGGTAATCAAAAGTTTTTTTAGAGAAATTCCTCCAAAAAAAATCTAAAGAAACTTGAACTAGTCCGGCCCAACTTGTTACCAGGCCTACGCACACAACAACCCGACTCATTTAAGATCCGACCCGACCGTTTCCTTCGTTTCCAAATTCTTAATTGCAGAAATGCCCGCAATACAAAAGCTTGTACAAAATTCCCAGTACGCGCCTCGTCCCTCTACTCCGTCATCTCCAACTCCCGCCGAAACCCTAATTCTAATCGCCGCTCCAGATGGCGGTGGTCGCCGAGAGCTCTTCGGCTTCGCCTAACCCGCCGGAAGACAAGCCGGTGATCGTTAGGGTTAAACGCAAGGCATTGCAGTCCTCACTCGACGCTTTCTGTGAGTGTCGCTTAGTTTGTATCCATTTTTCTCTTTTTATCTTGTTTGGTTGCCGGGAAACTGTAGGAAAGTGGAAAATAAACTTGCTTGAACTTGCAAACTGTGAAAAAATTGGAATTTGTGACGAATTTCGGAACATTGTGCAATGTAGGGCTGGAAATCAATGAGAGGCCGGTGAAGCGTCCGTTGGTGGATTTTGAGAAGCTTTCGATGTTGGATTCAGCTGGAAAGGGTAACGAATGGTGCTCGTATTTGTCAAGCATTGTTGTTTTATATATGTGCGCGTGTGTGAACTGTAATTACTGAAATTACTAATATTTGGACTAACACAAAGTTATCCAACTGTTTTTGTTCACTTTGATGTAATCGTTTTGTTAAAAAATTGTATACTAAATAGTTGCGATTTTCGTTATACCCAACAAAGAAATTCCTTTATGAGTTGTTGGATATGTTGTTAATGGAGTTATTGATTAAAAAGTTACTGAGTATGCTGAATATGATCAAAGTTTTTATTTTTTATTGTTCCGTTGATTAGCAATTGACAAGGTTACGTTTTTTTTCTTTCAGTTTTTGGTTGTCTCTGTTGAATTAGAATAGGGTTTTGTGATTTTGCAGATTTCATTAGAAGATGGAAATTTTTAAAACTCTTACAAAACGTGGTGCTAATTTCTTATATTTTTAATGCAGCAGAACTGAAAACCAAGAAGGTTTTGGTACAGCATGTAGAGACAGTAAGCAGCTTTGACACCAGTGTTGATGTTGTGAAATCATTTCTGGTGAGCAGGGCTGCGCATCTCTTAATTTTGTTCAATAACTATTCTTGTTTTGTAAACTATTTACATAAGCATGTGTTCAGGAATGCCATGTAGCTCAGCTTATTGTTTTAAGGCTTTGTGACCCCTCCACCCCTTCCCCTGTCCCCCGTCCTCTCCACAATCTCCTTTCTCTCTCTATCTCACTCAGCAAGTTCATTATTCCCATTGCAAGATTCTGTGTGTGATTCCCATGTCATCTACTACTAAGAGGTTGGTGAAAATGTCTCACTGTTTCTTTTAGGACCCTAATACTGGTGACATGCGTGATCGTAAAACAAAGATTGGAGAACGTAAATACGCTTTGAGAAAGGAGAATGTAAGCTATCTGTCTCCTCCTCTTGGTCTTACGCACTTTATTACATTTTTACTTTCTAATGTACTGTCCCTAAGGTTACTTGAACTTATTCTTTCATTCCCATTGTAATAGCAGAAACAAGATCTGATTTTGTCTAAAGCCAGACAGAGGAAGGAGGTACGTGATATAGTATAAGTTAATTGTATTGTTAGTCCATCAAGTACAGGATTTGTTATCCCTTGTGCTTCCATTAATATGATTTGTTCTTTCATGTCTTAGAGAGATAACGACGCACTAAATTTTCATACAATGAGCTTATTTATTCAGTTGCCCCATTCATACTTTTTTGTTTTGTTTATTGTCCATTGTTCTCATTTCAATCTTTATCTTGTGATAATAACCATTGTAAGACAATGAGTTCTAATGTGCTTCAAATTAGGATCATGCAACTTTAAACTTTGCTAGTTTCTGTGAAATTTTTTATCATTTGTATAGGCCACAATCTTGGATTTTTTATTTTTTTTTAGATTAAAAATTGTGTTTGTGAAAGATTATTTATGATAGATTGAAAATAAGAACTAATAACCACATATGGCTTATTGATGCCATTTTATTTTGGTCCAAGTTTTAATTAATAGATAATCACGTTATACCAGATTGGTACACATGTAATCCCAAAATAAGTTTTTCAGAGTGGACAAATTTTTTCCTTCATTTCTTTTTGTTTGGAACTCCGCCTATGTCTTACATGGCCGGTCCCAAGCCCGGATAAAGGAGGAGGGGGAGGGCGTCAGGTAGTCGACAGCCGGCACTCCATGATCACGTCGAATCCTTATGAAAATGAATCCAGAACAAAATCGCGCTAAAGCTAGGGCGTCACCCGTAAGTGGCGCGCTGTGTGGCCTGAGCACAGTGATAAGTGAGCAAGGGTCGCTGTATCTCCATCGGCACCCGGATGCAGTGTTAAATGAGCAAGGGGGCCATAGAAACTTCTTTTCGAACGACTCCACTCAAAGTTGTTTGGGAGCATATGCTCCTATCAACTTTACCCGGGACACACAAAAGAAGTACTTTGATCCTATTAGACGGGGGAGGGTGAAGAAGCTAGGACAGAAGGGTAGAGTTCAAGAGAGCAAAATGCGTTTAGGAACGTGGAATATAGGAACCTTAACGGGAAAATCTATGGAAGTAGTGGAAGTTATGGTGAGGAGAAGGATAAATATTATGTGCCTACAAGAAACTAAGTGGGTTGGTAGTAAGGCAAAGGATCTAGAAAACTCAGGGTTTAAACTTTGGTATTCGGGCACAAATAGAACGAGAAACGGTGTTGGCATCATCGTGGACAAGACCTTGGTACAAGATGTTGTAGATGTCAAGAGGGTAGGAGATAGAATCATGGCAATCAAGATTGTAATAGGACAAGAACTTATCAATGTGATTAGTGCGTACGCACCTCAAGTAGGGTTGGATACGAGTTCGAAGGAGAGAAATTTTGGGAAGATCTTGGAGACTTGGTGCAAGGAATTGCTCAGACGGAGAAGTTATTTATAGGAGGAGATTTAAATGGACACGTGGGCAGGGAGACAGGCAACTATGGAGGTTTTCATGGTGGCCATGGTTTTGGGGAGAGAAACGAGGATGGGGAAGCTATCTTGGATTTTGCAATGGCATATGATCTCTTCTTAGCCAACACCTTCTTTAAGAAGAGAGAAGAACATGTGATCACCTACAAGAGTGGGTCGTCAAAAACACAAATAGATTTTCTTCTAATGAGGAAAGGGGATCGTATAACTTGTAAGGATTGCAAAGTTATACCAGGAGAGAGCGTGGCTAATCAACATCGCTTGTTGGTGATGGATGTACATATCAAAAGAGTAAGACAAAAGAACAAGACTTGGAAGTGCCCAAGGACTAGATGGTGGAATCTAAAAGAAGAAAAACAAGCCATTTTCAAAAGAGAAGGTAATCACCCAATGTGTGTGGGATAGAGAGGGGGAAGCTAGCCAAATGTGGGATTCCATGGCTAGTTGTATCCGAAAAGTAGCAAAAGAGGTATTAGGAGAGTCCAAGGGCTTTGCCCCACACCAAAAGGAATCTTGGTGGTGGAATGAGGAGGTACAAACAAAGGTGAAGGCTAAGAAGGAATGTTGTAAAGCCTTATACAAGGAGAGGACCTGATGAAAATGGTGAAAGGTATAGAAAAGCGAAGCAAGAGGCGAAGAAAGCTGTCAGAGAAGCTAAGTTAGCGGCTTACGACGATATGTATAAACGACTAGATACCAAAGAAGGAGAGTTGGATATCTATAAACTATCTAGAGCAAGGGAAAAGAAGACAAGGGACCTAAACCAAGTGAGGTGCATCAAGGATGAGGATGGAAAGGTTCTTGCTACAGAGAACGCGGTTAAAGACAGATGGAGAGGTTATTTTCATAATCTTTTCAATGAAGGACATGAAATGAGTGCTTCTTTAGGGGAGTTGAGTAACTCAGAAGAGTGTAGAAACTACTCTTTTTATCGTCGAATCCGGAAGGAAGAAGTGGTTGTAGCTTTGAAGAAGATGAAGCATAAAAAAGCAATAGGCCCAGACGATATACCAATCGAAGTGTGGAAACTTTTGGGAGAGACAGGTATAACATGGCTCACTGACCTTTTCAATAGGATTTTGAAAACGAAGAAGATGCCAAATGAGTGGCGAATGAGCACTTTGGTGCCTATCTACAAGAATAAGGGCGACGTACAAAATTGCATGAACTATAGGGGTATTAAGCTAATGAGTCATACAATGAAGCTCTGGGAGAGAGTCATTGAGCATAGATTGAGGCAAGAGACACGGGTTTCGGACAACCAATTCGGGTTCATGCCAGGGCGCTCAACCATGGAGGCAATCTATCTCTTACGAAGATTGATGGAAAGATATAGAGATGGGAAAAAGGATTTACACATGGTCTTTATAGATTTGGAAAAAGCGTATGATAGGGTCCCAAGAGACATTCTTTGGAGGATTTTAGAGAAGAAAGGAGTACGAGTAGCATATATCCAAGCTATAAAGGATATGTATGAAGGAGCAAAGACTGCCGTAAGAACTCATGAAGGACAAACCGAAAGCTTTCCCATAACTGTAGGATTACATCAAGGCTCATCCTTAAGTCCTTACCTTTTTGCGTTGGTAATGGATGAGTTAACAGGACATATTCAAGATGATATTCCTTGGTGTATGCTTTTCGCAGACGATATAGTGTTGATAGATGAAACTCAGGAAGGGGTAAATGCAAAGCTTAACCTTTGGAGAGAAGTGTTGGAATCTAAAGGTCTTCGCCTAAGCCGATCAAAGACAGAATATATGGAGTGCAAGTTCAGTGCAAATGGAGGCCAAAACGAGTTAGGGTGTGAGGATCGGAGATCAAGAAATACCAAAGAGCGACCGTTTTCGTTACCTAGGATCTATCTTGCAAAAGAACGGAGAATTAGATGGAGATCTCAACCATAGAATACAAGCTGGATGGATGAAGTGGAAGAGTGCATCCGGCGTGTTGTGTGACCGCCGTATGCCACTGAAGCTCAAGGGAAAATTTTATAGGACGGCAATAAGGCCGGCGATGCTGTATGGCACAGAATGTTGGGCGGTGAAACATCAACACGTACACAAAATGGGTGTAGCGGAGATGAGGATGCTTCGTTGGATGTGTGGGCACACGAGAAAGGATAAGATTAGGAATGAGGATATCCGGGGTTAAAGTAGGAGTAGCCGAAATTGAAGGAAAGATGAGAGAAAATCGGTTACGGTGGTTTGGACATGTGCAAAGAAGGCCTACTGACGCTCCGATTAGAAGATGCGACTATGGGACAGAGGTTCAGGGCCGAAGGGGTAGAGGAAGACCTAGGAAAACTTTGGAAGAGACTCTAAGAAAAGACTTAGAGTACTTGGATCTAACGAAGGACATGACACAGGATCGAGCACAATGGCGTTCTAAGATTCATATAGCCGATCCCACTCAGTGACTTGGATTTTCCAAGTCTCCAACCGAGAAGTTTTCCTCACTCGGGAAATTAAGGGAACACTACCCCAACCTACATGCTCCACTCAGAAAGCTTCAACATACAAGCTTCAACAAAAGAAAATTCAAAGAACTTAGCGAAGAAGGCTTTGGTGTATTTAACACAATACGTTGAAATGAAGGAAAGCTTATTTATTGATATCCCCGATAAGCTACAAATATGTACATATACATGAGTCAAAATAAACAACACAAGAGGGAGCCTTCACAAAGGTTGCTTAGGAGAAGTCTCAGCAGTCGGTAGAGCCCCAGAAAGAGAAGGCACCGGAGGGGGATCATTTGGAGCCTCAGTACTGGACAGAACCCTAGAAGGAGGAGGCATCAGAGGTTGATCATTTGGAGCTTCATTACGCGGTACAGCCCCAGAAGACGAAGGCAATAAATGCCTTTGGAACAAACCCACAAATCTCTGATGATCAAGTAAAACCTGACCATCAGTTTCCTTCATCTGGTCAAGCTTCCTCTTCATGTTTGTAGCATAGTCATGTGCGAGCCGGTGCAACTGTTTATTCTCATGCTTGAGCCCTCTAATCTCCTGTTTGAGACTCATCACTTCAGCCGCCAATGATTCAACTTGGCGGGTTCGAGCAAATAGGCGTTGGGCCATATTAGACACAGAACCTGCACACTGAACACTGAGAGCCAGCGAATCCTTAACAGCTAACTCATCAGACCGTTTGGAAAGTAGTCTGTTATCTTTGGGAGTGAGAAGGTTCCTGGCCACCACCGCAGCGGTCATATCATTCTTCATCACGGAATCCCCAACGGTAAGAGGACCAGTAGGGGAGACGAAGGATGGGCGCCATATGTTGTCTGGAGAAGGCGGGGCTGCCTCTTCAACAAGGTTCAAGTCAAAACGACGGTCGGAGGGGCCAGACATTTTCAAAGGTGTTGAAGAGAGAAGAGGTCGGACAAATCAAGATCTTAGAAGTGCAAGAATGAAGCTTCTACTGGTGGAGATTCAAGTGTGCTTTGGAACTTAATGCCAGCCCCTATAAAAATCTGCACTCGACGGAAGCTTCAGAAATCGAAGAGGCGCCTGCTCAGAAATCGAAGAGGCGTTTGCTTTCTCAAAAGCTGGGCTGCTTAGAGATCACGAGGGTTGATCTCAGAAATCGAAGAGGCGTTTGCTTTCTCAAAAGTTGGGCTGCTCAAAGACCACGAAGGCCGATCTCAAAAATCGAAGAGGCGCTCGCTTTCTCAAAAGCTGGGCTCCCCAGAGACCACGAGGGCCGATCTCAGAAATCGAAGAGGCACCTACTTTTCCAGCCTTTTTCCAGCCTTGTCAGCACCTGTCACACGCACACTCAGTTTTGCGGAAATTATGGGCATTCTGTCAAAGACTTCTGGGGAAGTAGAAAACACATGAATCTTACTGTTCAATCACCCACTTCCCACACGCAACAATAGCTCATGGGTACCACAGATAACTTTGCCAAAGTTCTCTGCCAAAGTTGAGCACGTGAAGCTTGCAGCTCCCACTACATCGCTCTGACCAAGAAGGGTAAAAGAATAGCAAAGAAACAGCACTAACAAAGTTTAGACCCATAAATTTTGAAGGTCTAGCTACCATATTATTACCCACAAGGGTAAAGGAACAGTACCACTGCTGGATAATTGGAAAGTCCCTGTGTGTGTCAACCTCTGTGCTTCGTGGCAAGGTAGACTAGCAAACATGCCCAACCTTTACTCACATTCGAGAAAACACTCCCAATAAGATTGCTTGCTCCAAAATCGAAGAGGCACCGTCCTCCGAATCTCGAGAGCCAGACTCCCAACATGACTACTTTCTTAAAAATCGAAGAGAGGGTAAAGGAACAGTACCATTGCTGGATAATTGGAAAGTTCCTGTGTGTCAACCTCTGTGCTTCGTGGCAAGGTAGACTAGCAAACATGCCCAACCTTTACTCACATTCGAGAAAACACTCCCAACAAGATTGCTTGCTCCAAAAATCGAAGAGGCACCGCCCTCCGAATCTCGAGAGCCAGACTCCCTAACATGATTACTTTCTCAAAAATCGAAGAGACACTGCTCTCCGAATCTCGAGAGCCAGACCCCCAGCATGATTGCTTTCTCAAAAATCGATGAGGCATCGTTCTCCGAATCAATCGAAGAGGCGCTCGCTTTCTCAAAAGCTGGGCTGCTCAGAGACCACGAGGGCCGATCTCAGAAATCGAAGAGGCACCTACTTTTCTAGCCTTGTCAACACCTGTCACACGCACACTCAGCTTTGCAGAAATTATGGGCATTCTGTCGAAGACTTCTGGTGAAGTAGAAAGCACATGAATCTTACTGTTCAATCACCCACTTCCCACACGCAACAATAGCTCATGGGTACCACAAATAACTTTGCCAAAGTTCTCTGCCAAAGTTGAGCACGTGAAGCTTGCAGCTCCCACTACATCGCTCTGACCAAGAAAGGTAAAAGAATAGCAAAGAAACAGCACTAACAAAAGTTTAGACACATAAATTTTGAAGGTCTAGCTACCATATTATTACCCACAACTGTAAAGGAACAGTACCACTGCTGGATAATTGGAAAGTCCCTGTGTGTCAACCTCTGTGCTTCGTGGCAAGGTAGACTAGCAAACATGCCCAACCTTTACTCACATTCGAGAAAACACTCCCAATAAGATTGCTTGCTCCAAAATCGAAGAGGCACCGTCCTCCGAATCTCGAGAGCCAGACTCCCAACATGACTACTTTCTCAAAATCGAAGAGAGGGTAAAGGAACAGTACCATTGCTGGATAATTGGAAAGTCCCTGTGTGTCAACCTTTGTGCTTCGTGGCAAGGTAGACTAGCAAACATGCCCAACCTTTACTCACATTCGAGACAACACTCCCAACAAGATTGCTTGCTCCAAAATCGAAGAGGCACCACCCTCCGAATCTCGAGAGCCAGACTCCCAACATGATTACTTCCTCAAAAATCGAAGAGACACTGCTCTCCGAATCTCGAGAGTCATACCCCCAGCATGATTGCTTTCTCAAAAATCGAAGAGGCATCGTTCTCCGAATCTCGAGAGCCAGATACCACAGACCACTTTTTTCAAAGTGCTCTGACAGAGTTAAAACATGTGTGAAACTGGCAGCTCCCACTACCGTGCTATGACCAAGCAGGGTAAAGGAATAGCATTACTACTTGTTGTTAGGGAGACTCCTATATATGTCGACCTCCATCCCCAACGGACAGGCAGACCTGCAAAAATGCTCAACCCTTCATCATATCTGAGAGGGCACTCCCAACGAAGCCTTTCGAAATATTCAGCTTTCTTTCCCCCCGATAATACCTCTGCAAACAAGCTATACTAGAGCAAGAATATCTCATATCATCAGGGTTAAAAGCAAGAGTATCCCATATCATGCTTTTTTCCTGTCTTTTCTTTTGGCCTTGTTTTTACCTGCAAGACAAGGAGAAAGAGAGCAATCAGTCAGCACTTGGAATCAAGCTTCCAGCCAGGAACTGACTGCCTGGAACCCCTTACCTGATTACTTACCTGGCATTGCTCTCGAGTACTCATCTTCAACATCTTATGTTTCCAGGGAAGATTCCGCATCTGCTTGAGGAACAGATAGGGCAAGTGCGAAGGATACAAGGAAGCATGTGGAGACAAGCGTAACAGCACACGTGCCGATACATTCATTACTCTGTCAAAAGCAAAAGTATCCCATATCAGCAGGGTGGAACGTACTCTAGATTTGATGGACTTTGTTTTGACCCTCAAATTCTTCAGTCGGCCTTATACTCTGGAGGAAACCAGAAAAACCCTCCAGCTCAGTTCAAGAATAAGCCTGTGGAAAGTTACTTCTTCAAAAGCAAAAGTATCTCATATCATCTCTTCTCATTTTTCTTCTCTTTATCCTTCATGCTGCTGCAAGATGGGGAGAAGGTGAACAATCAGTCGGAGCTCTGATTGCTTACCTTGTCTGTCACCTCTTTCAGCAGACCCCCTAGCTCGGCGACTTGGGGGACTCCTACTACATGGTTTGTATCGCGCTTGACCAAGCCTGAAACTACAAGTAAGCTTCAAGTGAAATTGATACATTACCTTGTGCATCTCCACCAGTTAAAGATACCACCCCTGGATGGAGGAAGAGTACTTCCAGAGAAGATGCCACATCTACCTATGAGACAGATAAGGCAAGTCAAGACGACACCACACTCCGATACTTAGAAGTTTCGTGATTACGAGATCATTCTCCCACAATATTTCCTAATGTCATTTGTACTAAATCATTCACTTGTACTCACTAAATGAGAGCTTGAACCTATGTACTTGTGTAAACCCTTCACAATTAATGAGAACTCTTCTATTCCGTGGACGTAGCCAATCTGGGTGAACCACGTACATCTTGTGTTTGCTTTCCTATCTCTATCCATTTATATACTTATCCACACTAATGACCGGAGCAATCTAGCGAAGATCACAAAAAGCGATCGTTTTCGCTACCTAGGATCTATCTTGCAAGAGAACGGAGAATTAGATGGAGATCTCAACCATAGAATACGAGCTGGATGGAAAGAGTGCATCCGGCGTGTTGTGTGACCGTCGTAGGCCACTGAAGCTCAAGGGAAAATTTTATAGGACGGCAATAAGGCTAGCGATGTTGTATGGCACAGAATGTTGGGTGGTGAAGCATCAACACGTACACAAAATGGGTGTAGCGGAGATGAGGATGCTTCGTGGGATGTGTGGGCACACGAGAAAGGATAAGATTGGGAATGAGGATATCCGAGGTAAAGTAGGAGTAGCCGAAATTGTAGGAAAGATGAGAGAAAATCGGCTCCGGTGATTTTGAACATGTGCAAAGAAGGCCGACTGACGCTCCGGTTCGAAGATGTGACTACGGGACAGAGGTTCAGGGCCGAAGGGGTAGAGGAAGACCTATGACAACTTTGGAAGAGACTCTAAGAAAAGACTTAGAGTACTTGGATCTAACGGAGGACATGACACAAAACCGAGCGCAATGGCGTTCTAGGATTCATATAGCCGACCCCACTTAGTGGGAAAAGGCTTTGTTGTTGTTGTTGTTGTATTTCTTTTTGTTTGGGTTTTTTGTTGTTTAAAGTAGCTATATGCTTGATGATGATGATATAAAAATGATCAAACTGAGTATTCTAATAAGGAGGGGGAAGTGGGTGGAATCTGGGATAGAGTCAGATTCTTGCTTCTCTCCAGACTTCGCTGTCAAAATATTTCAAGAACATTCCTTTAGTGTGTTTTTACTTGATTGGTGACGGCTTTCTAGGATGCTGTTCTGTCTGTTGGTTTGGGTTTATTCATTGAGTTTTTGTGTTTCTATATTTTAGGTGTTTTATGAACTACTTGTCTGTCCATGCTTCTTGTATTCTTTGTGTGTTTCATTAATAAATCTGGTGTTTTTTTTATGAAAAGTTGTGTACTTGGAAATTTGTTCTGCAATATTTTCCTGGCCACTATCTCATTTTGAGTCCTTTCTAATAGGTTGTAGCAAAAAATGCACGTTTTGAACAAATATGGAGGAGCAGAAGAGGAAACAAAGAAACATCACATGAGAATTTACATGAAATGTGTCATTTCTATGATATTATACGTGTTGATGTTGCAGAAAAACCTAAGGAGTAAGTTATCTTTAGTCATGGAATTCTCTTGCCCTTGTACTTTAGTCTAGTTGAAAATGACACCCCCTATGATTGTAAATTTGTAATACAGTGAGATATCTTTGGAGGACCAGAAGCTTTTGAACAGTTACTTGCCTCTGCTGAGAGAGTTCATCCCAATTGCTGCTTCTGAGATCGAATCAGATTTATACGCTAACAGTTCCAAACAAGGTTGGTTTTACATTTAAATGGATTGCATCGTGTCAGTAGGTGCTGCCACCCATTTAATAGTGACATTAATTGGACCCAAGGTAGGAGAATCGGATACTTCATAGCATTTTGTCCTTGGTCCACTGTCCGCAGTCTGCACTTGTAATTGCTTCTTGTAGAGTTGAATATTGATTTCGGCCTTCATATTAATACTCATTATTTTCTTGTTACGGTTTGATGATTTCTTTTATGTGTTTGTAGATTCGGAAGATGAGTATGTGTATGACTTGTATGCTGTGAAGGAGGAAAGTGATATGGCTATTGAAGAAACTTCAAACCCATTCCCCTTGTAAGTATCATGTGTACCATACTTGTTAAGCTTCCGCCTTAATCTCTTGCTAAACTGATCATAATAACTTCGGTACAGGGTCCAAGTTGATGACGAGGATTTCTATGATGGGCCTGATGAATCTGAATATGAATCTGATGATTCAAATGGTAATCTTAAACAATCTTTCATTTATCCATTTTCTAGAAGTTCTCCTTATTCTTGCTCTAACTGATTGGTGATTTTCAGCTGAAAACAACCCGCTAAATGATTATCCGGATGAGATATCTGAAGAGGAAGAAGAGGAATCAGCGAAGGAAAACTCCGATGATGAATCAGAAGAAAATGAAAGTTCCAGCGACAAATCATCAGAACCTGAGGATTTAGATGAAAATGACTTTTTTGAAGATTATATATACGATGAAAACAACGACGGCCATGACTCTGATTACCATGTTGATCCAAGTGATGAAGGTGAAGACCGGAATACGGTCTTATAGGTAATTTCTCCTGGACAAGTAAACCAATGTCGGAAGTTAATGATGGATTAGTGGTTAGATGTGTGAATATGAAGCCCTTTTTGTACAGCCTTGTAGCGATGGATCTATTAGTATGGCCATTGAAATCTTTCTTCTGTTATGCTATTGCAAGTCCATCGTTTCATTGTTTTGTCCAGTGAGTGGAAGTGAGATTTATGGACCAAATTATGGACGAGAGATTTTACAGTGTTACTATGTACTCGAGTTATGCATCTGTGAACACGTGGGTTGAAAATCTAAAAATGCTTTGGTTAAGATGAAATGAAGTTTAATTTTATCAAGAAATTTGCATGATTACTTAGTCGCGATTGAAGATAAAATGAAGGAATCGGGTAAGATGCGACTACAAAACGGAAGCTCTTGGCAAAAGAAGTAGAGGAAGACTCAGGTAGACTTTGAAAGCGACTATAAGAAAGAATATGAAGTACTTAGAACTAACGGAATATTTAGGACAAAATCTAACACTATGACGTTTTAGGATTTATCAGCTGTTGACACATGATGACTTGAGGCTTGGTTGTTGTATATTTTTTACATGCATCAAGTCCACCATTGTAAATATCATTTGATTAATTGAAACTTACCTACGACGGGATGTGAAAAAAACCTAACCACCCTCCTAGAAAAACTATCTAGCACGGGATGTTAGGGTGATAAGAGTGGAGTCCTGTTACGTGGAGAAATTCTCAAGTACAACTATTGCACCCGTCACTCATCCACCCATAAAACAAACCAACAGGGTTGTCTTCGGATCTTTGGCGAGGATCATGGGGATTTATGAATCGTGTTTGTTCATTGTATATCGTGTGATCAGTTTTTGTCAAGTACTGATTATTTTTAATATTAAATAAAAATATTTAAAATAATTTATAACCGCACGATATACGATTACATGATTGACGGATCCTCGAAATCGAGAATCCGGATTAAAAAACAAACAGAAAAGTCTTTATCTTCAACGGATACTTACGCGAGGGGCCGTACTCAAGAATTTTTCCGTTTCGGAAGTCGTTCCTAAATCCTGTTCATCACCAGCTTTCTGCTTTTGGTCTTTAAAAAAGTTGAAAAAGCCGGCTGAAGAACCAGTTTCTCTTCACACCAAATAAATCAACCCAACCCAGTTTCCAGAATTCCCAAAACTCAATTGAATTCAAATGAATCCCTTGCTTCTGTAAAATGGCTGACATCGTTCCAGCTTCAGCCCCTGTTCATCCCACGAGCTCACAAATCCCGGTCGATCTCTTTGTCTCCAAGAAACATCCCGGCCTTCCACGTGGCGAATTGGGTTTCCTCGATTCCTCCGGCGACACCGTTTACAAAGTTACCCATCAATCTCCCAAGACTTCTTCTCACAAGCGCGTGCTGCTTGACGCCGCAGGAAATCCTCTGTTTTCTTTGCGCCGTAAAGATGTATGTCACCTCTCTGGCCCCTGTTTGTTTCCCTAGAAAATAATTTTTCTGGAAAAACTTCTTTTTGATTTTTTCTTTTGGGTTCTGATTCGTTTTCTGGGATTTGTAGCATGGAAGCTGGGAAGGATACAAAGGGGGAGATAGTGAGGAGAAAGACTTGAAATTTAGAGTGAAGAGAACGAAAAATAAGCTTACCAGAACTGAGTTGGAAGTGTTTCTTGTTGGTGAGAACTCAGCAGATTCAGCCTGTGATTTCAAAGTGAAGGGCTTTCCTTTCCAGAAATCTTGCACCATCTACAGAGGCAATGAGATAGTTGCTCAGGTATGATTTGCTTTTATGTTGTGTGGATTTTGAATTCATTGCTAGTGTTGAAATTTGTGTGTTTAGAATGGCCAAAAGTGCTTATGGGTAACCAAAATTGCTTCCTGTAAAAGCGCTTTCGAGCGAAATGGTTTCCTGTGAAGCATTTTCAAAAGGGCCATAGCAAACCAGGGATTGTTTTATTTGACAAAGTTCAGTTTAGTTAAGCAGTTGTATGAGTTGCTTGCATATGATTATTGGGTGGAGGGAATTTGATTGCAAAACTTGGTAAACCTTCTACTTCTGTGATTCTAAGTCCTAACCAAAAATAGGTTTTTGAAGACTGTTGCCTTAAAGTTTATTGAGAAATATACACAAATGGAACTAGTTACAAACTTTTAAGCGAAAATGGAACCCTGGAGGGGGCACTCAACTGCGGTTATATACAGTTTATTGGCTTATTGTGGAATGAAATTTCAATCTCAGGATGGTTATATACAAGCCTTTCACATGTACTTTACCTCCAGTTCTATCTGCGTGTTATTGGAATTTGTAACCGGTTCCATTTGTATGTTTCTAAATTTTAGTAGCACAGCTATTGGCTGTATAGAAAGAGTGTTGTTGTCTATATATCGGTGTGGTAGTGTTGTCATATAGAAATGGGGAAGTTGAGTAATGGGATCATTGCTACGGTTTAGTACTTGGGAAGTTGATTTATCAATGCAGTCTATCCTCGGATCTGCATCTTTCTTTTGAATTTAAATCCTTTTGCATAGCATGGTTATATGAACAAGTTCTGAGATCTCAGCAACAAATGTGTGGTTCTGTGTATGAAGATTTTAGCAACGTCTTTTGTTACTTGACCATCATACAAGAGCGTTGTTGTAAGTTGTTCATAAAGGTCGTGTGTAATTATCTGATTCGCAAATAGCATTTACAACGATTTTATCGTTTTTGAACTTTGCAATTTTGCGACCTAGTAGTGCAATAATTGAATCTTAGAAGTTTGTTTAAGGTGCTGTTTCTTGGTTATGAGATATAGTCTGAATTCTTTCGCGCTGTCTTGTTGCAGACGAGTCTTATGTACAAATTGCACCAGCTTATGCCAAAGAGAGGAAAATTTCGACTAACTATATTTCCTGGACCCGTGGATCATGCTTTGATAGCGGCCTTGATTGTAATATTTCTCGATTGATCACAGATTATAGAAGAACTGGCATCTAACATTTTCAAAATTATCAACGCAAGAGTGCTACAACACAACCTATCAGGGGCAGAACCAACGAGATGCGAAGACATGAAGTAGTTAAAGCCCCCGATACTTATAAACAGACTGGTTGGTCGGTAGGTTATGAGCTCTGCAACCATTTTTCCCATTCACGAGTTGGATTATATTTCTTTGTCAGCTGTTAGGCGCAATATGGTGTACTTCAGCATCACTTGGTAAAGATCAATGATCAAGTAAGTAGTTTAGGTTTTCGCTTTTCATTCAAAGAAATTGTGGTCTTCGTTTGCGAAGGGTTGAAACTGGCTCGGATTTTCCAGTTACTTGTCTGGGTTATGAACTTACATGTTTCAAGTTGAGCAGCGTAGCAGCTACAACCACAAGCGAATTTGAACCACATTATTGCTAGTCTATTGTGAGGCTAAACCCAACTCCTCTTTGTTAGTGTAGATAATATCGTTTGTTCAAAGAAAGATAAAATTACGAATTGTGACCCGAATCTTGCTTCACCTAAGATGTAAGAGCAGTGTTTAAAGGTTGGTATGTTCAAAGTAATTAATGAGTTACTTTGGATGCTGGCCCTAACTATTTCCAAACTCGCAATTTTCCCAGTTGAAATTGCCAATATTGCTCAAAAGAGGTACTTTTATGTCCAGTGGGAGCAAACACACTCGTCCTCTGATTGTGAACCGATCAATTTATTAAGACGAGTAGGAATGTCTTATGTCTACACACCGAGAAACGTTACTAGTTTCTCAAATACATATGAAATTGTGAACTGATCTACATATGATACAACGTCTTCAGACACTTCTCCGGTCGCGCGAGAAGTTCAATGATCACGAGTGCAAACCTCGATCGAAAACACATTATGATTGAATAAGATCAAAGTCAAAGGGGCCGTGAGGCGAAAAAAGCAGCTCTGCCAGTTTGTGTCTTCTGTTACTACTGTGATACAAAAATCATATTCGCTTGTCACCTTTCCGAAAGGAACAACCATTTCCCTGCTTCAAAGGAACTAACTATCTGCCCGCATCAAAGGAAGTAGCCATCTCATTTCTGCTCCATTTCCGTTCGACAAGTAGTATACTTTCTTCCAGTTTTCCTCTGTGAATGCTTCACGGCGAATAAGCCGCTGTCTGCCATAGAAAACAGCAGGGAAGGCTGAGAATGTGAAAAGTTTGCAGGCCAAAGACATCACAAAAGCTTTAGACATGAAGGATGCCCCTGACGAGTTTAAGCATCTAAAAAACACTGACCCAAAGACTCTAATGCATTACCATTATGGGGCACCAAACCGTGTCTTACACCATTAAAAAAATTTGTATTTCACTAATTTCGACCGACATTTGCATGACCCGAGGTAAAACAAATTAAACCGGAGTATATAAGCAGTCTAACATACAATCATGCAATAGATATGCGATCAGCAAGAGTATCGCATGGCAAGCATTAACTAGCATACCTAAGGTAGTAATGGCAAACAGCGGCTGCTTCATCTAAAGTGTAGCGGGATAGGTTGACACGAGCATCTACGGGTACATCTGGCAAGTCTTGACGAAGCTTTCCTACTGCCGTTGAATGTGAAAACGCGCCAACCATCATGTCATCATTTCGCATAGATCTAAAAGCCTTCACCTGGAAGAATTTTACCACGTATGTGCACATCAGTTTCCGATATACAACATATTGCAGACAAACCACAACTTACTACCACCTTGTACACCCAAACTTGATTGCATAAGTGAAATAATCAAATAAGAACCACACTGAAGGACAACAAGATTATTTGAAGCGGTAATACAAAACCTAGAAACAAATAGATGAAAGGATATTCTGATGGTCCATACAGATTAAGATTACAATTTACAAGTACACACCAGCACATTATTATTTCAACCAAACATAGGGGACCTACCGTAGCGAGTTCTTTAGCATGTATTGGTCGAGTAGAACGAACAGTTACTGGCTCTTCATACTCACTGAACGTAAACCAGTTATTATACTGCAGACAATGAGCACAAAAATATAGCAAAAGTTTACAACACAGCTCCGGAAACAAAATTCATCCAATAAATTAAATTATCAATTATCTAGTGATTGGTCGCACCTGATCAATTGCAATAAGCACGGGGATATTTTTCACAACAGATAATTCCTTCCTCAAACGAACCACTACTCCAACAGCTGCATGAGTGTGCCTGATTCCTGAATTAACTAGGTCATATAGAGTTGAACCTTCGGGCATTGCCATGGAATCAGTTCCATCTCTCATCCATCCAACACCAGCACCCTCTCCCAAAGGAATAGGATCGAGTATTTGGCACGACAATTGTTTTAAATGGGATTCGTTAAACTTCAGGAAATCCTGGAATAAAATGACACATTAGATGAACATAAAGCCATGGAGATGATCAAAAGCTGAAATTCAAGAACTGCATAATGAACAGAGAACCATCATTTACGTCACATTAATTCAAAATTTCAAACATAAACCATGATAATCATTTCTTTTAGGAATGATCACTGAGACAGATAAGGTTTATGCACTATTTTCAATTGTCAAAGATTAATCCCTTCATAGGTAAACCTACATAGATTACTGATCCTGTTTAAGTTAATAGCATATTATAATAAAGAAAATAAAAAGCTCCACAATCTTACCCTCAGAATATTTTCAGCCTGAACAGGTGTGTCCCAAAGACCTGTTTGTGGGTTTTTATAGAAAAAGCCTCCATGAGTCCATTCCCTGCCTCTCGGGACGTATAAAACCAACCAGCCTTCCTCACGAGCCCATTGAACTAACATTGCAAGAGTAATACTCTTTCCACAGCTTACGGGACCGTCCAAGACAATCTGCTTTTGAGCTTTTGTACCTGAAAAGGCACACATGGATAAGGCCATCTTACATGTGACCCATCGTTTGACATGTACACGAAACTAAACATGCATTACAGCATCGATTATCTACAAAGGGATATATAAGAATCTATAAAAAGCATAACGAGGCCTCATCAGATTAAGAAATCAAAAGAATTTATACAATTTTTTAGCTTCCTAGTCTTCAACTCCATTGATTAACAATTTTCTAGCATAATGACCCCTCGGAAATCTATGGTTATCGAAACCGGAACTTTAAAGTCGAGTTAGATCATACTGTGCTACAACCAACGATGATCATTTTCAACTGTGCCGAATGACAACATTCGTCCCAAACTTTACCAGCTCTAAACAAGCAAAGGATCAATCAAATGAAAACCAATGGAACACAAAGCACACACCTTTGCTGCTAGCCGAGTCCAATGGCGGGTCCACAATCCTTCGAAAATTGTCACGAAGATCGAGAAAGCTCTGGCGGACGAGCACCGCGCTCTGCATTGCATCCTCGAACTCCTTCACCATCCCCAATGGCAACCCCTCGGGCAAAACATTGTTCAATTCCTCCATCCTTCAAATCAAAGAAAACAATCACATCCCAACAAATACATACAAACACAGATACAGAGCTACATCGATTTCGTTACGGATTTCGATCAGGGTTTAGGGTTTTACTTGAGCTTGAAGTAGGAGCAGGTGTCCTTGCGGCTGAGCTGAGAGAGTGTCGGAGTGGAAGTGAATAGAGGACGGCCGTTGGGTCCCACATCAAGCGACGGGTCCCTCTCGTCCGCTTGGAGCTGGCGTGCGCGGGAATTTCGACCGGAGAGAGCCGCGTCGGTCTCCGATACGTCGTCGCCGGCGGTAGCTGAGGGGTCGTTTTTGGATTTGCCCGTCTTCTTCGCCTTCTTGGCTATGGTATCCTTGGACGTCGAGTAGCTCATTGTCGCCGTCAGCCTCCAAGGGTCGGGTCTTGGGCCGCCCGACCCGGCTGCCCGTCGGAGAATGGTCCGAAACATTTCGCTGTTCTCAAAGGTTTTGCGAGGTTTATGGGAGGAGGAGACGGCGGAACTTTGCAGATACTGAGAAATTGGCTCAACCAGGTGGTGGGTAAAATTGTAATTTTATTGATAATTGGGCCTAAATCTGTTTGGTTTCAAAAATGGGCCTGATCGTCGGATTTTGGGCCCAATTGTTTTGGTTCTGCTGGGTTTCATTTGTCCCGAATCTGTGGGTTTGGGAGTATAAACCCACCAAAGCAGAAGTAAAATGCCTAAGCCATGGTGGTGAAAGATAATCTTGAACACCAAATGCAGTGGATAGAAGTGAAAGGCTCTAATTAACAAGACAATCCACCATTGCTAACACTTTAGTACGGGAGAAACTTTCTTGCACACAATGCACAGTCCTGACGACATCACTTGTACAATAACGCGTCCCGCATGTTCAAAAAGTGAACTAATGGTTCAACAAACACTTGTTACGTAGTGAATTGGTGACAAGCGAGAATTTCTCCTTTAACAGAGATAACTTTGTTATTGTATGGTGTTCAATATGTGTAAGAGAATGTGTCAACAAGTACGCCAGTTTTTCATTTTTCAATAGCATTATTTCCATGCACGATGAAAATAGACAATAAAAAAAGTAAAGAGATTTCGAGTGATTGATAATTAGGTATAGTAAGATTAATGATAATAGTGGTGTTTGTGGTATGGACAATAATAGAGTTAATGGGATCAGAGTTAGAGATTGTGCAATCCAACTCAGAAATCAAGATGATCAGTGTTAAAAATAATTGAAGTATAAGGGTAATGCTAAATATATTTTAATCTTGGTTCATAGTGTAAAAAAGGAGATTTGTGGAACACGTATACGATCGTTCACATTTTGGGTCACCCTACATGCGTATAACTTTGAGTCTTTGATAAGTTACATTCTGGGTAACCCTACTATAAGGGAATGAAGGATTTGGCTAGATTACATATTTAGGTTAGTTACTTTAGGTATCAAACTCAATGCAAATATGTTACGTTATCGACATTTATGTGAGTTGAATATGAGACATCTCACAAGAAGAATACCACAAGATGGTAGTACTAGTTGATCACTGTAATCCTAATAAAAAAATATTTTGTGCTCAATTGTTTTTTATTATCTTTAATCCTAATTATTTATAGGGGTACATTTCAGGTAAAAATTATTTTTGATTATAGAATTAAGTTAATTGACTTTTTTCAGTTTAGGGATAGATAAATGAAGAGTTAAATTTTGATAAGTAATTCTTTTATCTTAATTGAAGAGAAATATTTTACTGGCCTATTCTTGAGAATAAAGTGACTATTGACCTATGATCAAATATATATATATTTTTTTTCTAAACCAAGTTTCCTATTATTTTATATTTTAAATCAAATGGTTTGTGAACTAAAACATAATTTGGATTCATAACATGCCCTCTTTAGCATTCATGGATAATAATATTTGAATTTGTAATCACAAAAAAAAAGCAAAAAAAAAAAAAAGAAAATAGTCTTTGAATTTTTGCTTAATTGGTCCCTCAATTTGTTATAGTGTGGATAAATGGTCCCTCTGAGTAATACCGTTAGAACTTCCATCTAAACTAAAAGGTTTAATGGGGAAAAGAAAGTTTGGATGTTCTAATGGAGTTTCCCAAAGAGCCATTGTTTCACATTGTGACACTTTTAGAGATCAATATTCACGAATTTTTAGTTCAAAAAATAAAGCTCCAACTCAACTAAAGTTGAAGGGCCCATACTCCAATTTCTCTAATGCATATAATTACAACTAAAACAAGCAAAAAAAATATAAAATGGAGAATATATATGTTGAGAGCGTCAATCTCACGTTAGGAAAATGATTAACATTTTATGTGCTTATAAATAATTGGACTACTCCCATATTGCCAATTGATTTTATGGTGAAACCTCAAATTTTTTTTTCTTCAGAATAAATAACTATTCTAACAAGAGAACAAAGCATGCAATCCATTTGTTAGAGAAATTTTTCTGTGTGTTTGTTTCATTTCATCGAAAACTATAAACTCTAAATTCGCCAACAGATTTTCAATATTGTATATGTACCCTAAGACCATGAGTTCAGACACGTGGTTTTCCAGTGTGTAATGAGATTCAAAAACGGAATGCCAGGTGGCTGAAAATGATCCGAATATGGGTGATACACTAAGTGTTTTTATATAAGTGGTGGAAAATTTCATTTTTTTAAGTTATTAACGTTTTAACACACATATTCCATAATTTATATAGTGACACGTTATGTACTATTCCGTATTCCCATCACTGATAAATCTCCGCTAGATTTGGCGCTTTAATTTGGTATCGCACAAAATGACAGCGATTCAGTGAGGTATTCGATTGCATGCGATCGAATTAATATTTAGTTGATCACGTATATAAACCACTTCTCGATTGCATGCGATCGAATTAATATTTAGTTGATCACGTATATAAACCACTAATGACCACAGGCTTAATTAGGTAAATCCACTAAATCAACTTTTTATTATTTTATAGGTACTACAAGAGAGATCATCTATTTAAATTATATTTTGTAAATCATATAATGTAGTTGTTCATGATTAAATTATTACTTAATGTTGATAACTAATTATTGATAATATCAAAAAGTTGAGTAATCTAGTGTTTACCTTAGAAATTTTATTATTTGAATTAAGGGAATTTTATTATTTAAACTAAAAGAATTGTTATTGATACTCCAGTATCTCATTTTGCACTTCAAGGAAACGGATTGAAGCGATTAAGGCTTTTTAGCTAAAATGATTTTTGAGATTAGCATAATTCTTCACTTTGGTTCTTGAAAATGAAAATCGCTAGAGCTGGTCCATTTGTTCACCGTAAATCATTTTGGTCATTACGTAAAAATCTATCAATATCCTCATTAAATTATTATGTGAACGACCGCGTGGCGAACTTAAAAGTATTTTTGTCAAACCAACTATTTTGACTAAAAACCCAACAATTATTGTTCTAGTTTGTCTTTGTAAAGGGTAATGCTAGAAAAACTACATTTGTAAACAAAATCTTCTAAACTAAATTACATGGAAATTGATGATTCGACTTTTACTTAAGTGTTAGTTAACGTGCTTATTTTTATTGGTGACACATCATTTAGTTTGCAATTTTAATTTACAAATTTAGCCTACCTAGCATTACTCCTTTGTAAAAAGAGTAATGCTATAGAGACTAAATTTGTAGATTAATTTTGTAAATTAAATTAACATAGAAGTTGATGATTGAATTATTATTCAAACGTTGATTAACGTGCTTATTTTTTTATTGGTGACATATAATTTAGTTTGCAAATTTAATTTACCTAGCATTACTCTTGTTAAAAATTGGAAGGTGACATGTGAGGAAGTTCTTACAATATTAATCATGACCCTTGGCCTTTGGACCCAATGAAATTCCAATTAAGAAGACTAGTGAAAAAATAAAAAAACTAAGCATTGTGATCCAATGGTTTGAGTTTGTTCGTCTCGTTTAGCAAATGCATGCACGGATATGTTCACTAGACTTGAATAAATGATACATCAATTATTGAAATAAAACTAACTTAGTAAGTTAAAATTTTTGTCATAAATTTAACACGTGTTGATTATAGAGACCATAAAGAGGCCATACACAAAATAAGTGCAGAAAATTTGATCTCAAATTTTTGGTATGTAACGTTATACTATATACAATTATAGTCAAAACTATGTACGAGCATAACCAAAACTCCATCGTTTCAGACTATCTTACTGCTTCATGCAACTACCCAAACTCCCCCACTCACCAACTTTGTACCGCTATATAAACACCAAGGCTCGTCCAACTTCAAAGTACAAAACTGTGAAACACTCCCAACTCAGCAAGTCCCTCTTACTGAGAGCCATTGCTTTGAGCTCCAGACCTGGCAAACTCTCAACCATGTCTGCTGGAGGGAGAACATTCGGAAGAAGCCAGAAACGAAACGACAGTGACGGCTTTATACCAAGCCTTAACCTCCAAGGACGTTGATGTCGTTCACTTTCTCCTAGCCCCGTATCTCGAGTGGTGGTTCCATGGCCCCCCAACTCACCAGCATTTGAACCGCCTGCTCACCGGCGCACCTCCGTATGACTCATCGTTCAAATTTGTCCCTCTCTCGATCGTTGCATTTGGGTCAATGGTGCTGGCTGAAGGATACGACGAGGTTCGTTCGGTTTCGTGGGTGCATGCATGGACCGTCAAGGATGGGATTATTACCCAGGTCAGGGAATACTGCAACACGTCCGTGACGGTCACGCGGTTATCCTCACCGGATATCAGATCACAGCGGGGGACTTGCCAGAGCGTCTGGCAGAGTAAGCTCTCGGATAATAAGTCTGTGCCTGGCATCGTTTTGGCGCTATAAGCCTATAACTAGTAATTAAAAAAAAAAATGTTTAGATATGGGTCCAAAGTAACTAAAAATTGGACCTATTTTAAAAGTATGCCTATAAAATTGGACCTATTTCAAATTTTCTCTTAAAATAATGCTACGTTAATTATGATTTGAAATCTTACAAATTAGTATTAGTTTGAAAGGGCACACGAAATAACCAAAGTAACATGCATGTATTATTGTCGGTTCAAAAACCAAAATAATGCTACGTTATTTGCAGTGTAGCGTTGTACTATTTATCTGGTGATTACACGAGTGTTAAGGACTCATTTATTAATCCGTAATTAGATTGAGAGGAATTGAATTGAGGAGGAATTTGAATGAGGTGGAATCAAAATCAAATTCTTGTTAAACATGTTCACTAAAATTGGCTGAAATCGGAATATGAATGATATTGATTTATATAAACTGTTTACTAATTCACATGAATCGGAATGAAAATTAATATGATTACTAAAATACCCCTATTGTAACTAATTTATTTTATATCTAATTATTTTTAGTAAAACTTTTATTCTTTCATTACTCCTTACCAGTTACCAACATAAAACAAACCCCAAAAAAAAAAAAAAAAAAAAAAAAAAAATCACTTGCTGTCCTCTCTCTCCCCCATCTCTCTGCTACCATGCTGACCCATCCA